GATAAATGACACCCTTCTACTGATCACGTCAAATTTATGCCAGTAACTTTTGCCTTTACTAAACAAAACAAGCCTATAGAGCTGTGTAATCATATTTGGGCTGAAAACTAAAATTATAGTTAATTTGGGATTGGAAAAACTAGGCTACTCCAAGATCTTAAACTCGATCTACTAGTACAAACCCTTCTAAATTTCTAAAAGGCAATCATATAAATCTGTCTAGGGATGGATAATACAAAAAGATCCTTAGAAAGTACTGGTCTGACAAAAATGCCTCAGAGTATTCTACACCTAAAATTCTTACCTCCTGTCTTCTGATTATAGATTAAATGTTTTAGAGTGAACAAGATACAGAGAAATTTTCGGATCACAACCCTCCCTATTTCTTCCCAGCTTACGCTCAAACACTCACTATTTCCATAACAAGTATGTTCTGAATTGCTCAGAGAAAATACAAAGCAAACATTTATAATAATCCTTTTCTTACAGGTGGGAACACCAAAACAGAGAGAAAAATTCATTGGTTCCAATGTTACCTCTTATTAGAACTATGACTGGGTCCCTCATTTACTGAGTCCCACTGAGCAGCTGCCCCACTGCCTCCTCAATAATTTGGTTTTAGGGTTTATGTGTAAACACCAAACAGCTGGGCTTCCTGTTGGCTGTTCAGAATCTGACACCAAATTAAAGAGGACCCAAGTGCTGCACAAAGACTAAACAGGAATTGGTGGTTCTAACAAACAAATTGCTGTTGGCAGATTTCAGTGGAGGTGAACTATCTCCCTTTAGCTGAATGCAGTGTGGAAGTAAGGCAGGAACTGGAGTTATTGGGTAACTGGGAGAATCTTCCCAGCAGGGAGCACAGGGAAGCAGAGAACAGGATGAAGTTTCCCAAGAGAGAAAACAGAACCTCAGAGTGCAGCTTCAATCTGAGACCCCTTCACATTCCTGCTCCTCTTGCAGGCAGGTGGAAAGACTTGGTACCCACATGTACAGTCTCAAAGTCATTGCAAAGGTAATTTACACTCCTTTAAGTGGAATGCAGTCTTAGCATAAATCAAGCTCCTCTGCACAAATCCCTGCTCTCTAGTGCATGTTGTTTGATTCTTTGTGCAGCACTAAATAAATATTTCTAGAGCTCTGACTAGAATATCAGAAAGCTTAATTTATTAGTTTCTCTTGTATTTTGCTCAGCATAAAATAATAGATCCTTGTTCTACTTTCCATCAGCTCCATCTGTTAGTGTTTTTTCTCAGACTCTTCCCCCATAACATTCTCTTCTCATTTTTGCATGTATTTCTCATCTACTTTCATTATTTTCTCAATCACAACAAAATACTAATTCTAATTGTCTTACTACCCATGATTTTTCCATTCTCTTTGACTCAGAGGTCTGAATTATGAGTGTATTTTGTTAGCAGATTTGGACAAACATCTCCTTACTTATGAAGTAAGGATTGCTTTCAGAAATTTAAGACATTGCCAGTAGTTGGACATAATCTGAAGAAGCTGACAGAGAACAGAAGTGACAGAGAACAGAGGCTGATACTGGTACTGTACCTCCTCTGGGTCCCTGGCTTGGGGATTTAAGAGAACACTTGATGCAATTTTGTCTATGACTTGTACATATCTTCATAGCACTGGGAAATGGGACAATCCTGCAATGAGTGCAGACAACCTCAATTCAGGAGTGGATGTTGGCCACCTTGCATTATTCTGCTATAATATCAAAAGGCTGAAAACTCAGGTGTTTTGACCTCAGAGCTTCCCAAATGGGGAATCTTGCAGTACGTCTTACTTCATATTTTCCTCACTGTAGCCAGTGTAAGGGAGGTGACTGAGTATAATCTGAAAGACCCAGTCAGGGATTTATCACTCAACTTGCTTTAACATAGACAGGTTTAAAACAGCCTCAGCTGTTCCTGAAATAAGCACTCCTTGATGTGAAATAACTGTGGCATAATTGATCTAACTGGATTTTCTGTAGCATTGTTGATGTATGCTAACTTGGATGAAGATGAAAAATGCAAAGTTCCTTTCATATTTGCCCTCCTCAAAAAAAAAAAAAAAATCACTGTTTTTAAAAGAAGGTTACAGAGTTTTAATCTTTAAATAAAAAAATTCTTAGTCCATCTAATACTTTGGCCAATGCTTCTTTCCTTCGGATGTCAGCACACCCTAACCTAAATCACTAGGTCTGTTATACTTTATGGTGCTACTGAAATGGGTGTGTAGGTTCTAGTAGGTAAACATTCATTAACTACTTACCAGCAATCCTCAAAAAGGGCATCTTTTGGAAAGCTTTTATGACTTATCTTTAGAGGTCACAAAGAAAAAGAAAATTTAAACAACACACAAACAAAAAAACTCCCACCCCAGAATAAAAGGAAAAGGAAGCAAGACCTGCCAGAATTAGATCTCAGAAACAGCAGCTGTCTCTAAAGATTTCCTTGCTTAGCTGCCCAGTTACACAGCTGGTTTGACTGGTTACAATAGTATTTTTCGCTTCCTACTTTATCATCTCTTGCCCTGATTAAGGGGGAACTCTTGGAATGGAGATTCTCCTGAAAATCCCGGGAATCCCACATTTGAAATGGCAGTTCTGGCAAGTGTTCCAAGCAGTAAGACACATTGCTAGGTACTTCTTCGAAAGCAAGCCCACAGGGGAGCAGAAAAAAATACTTGGGCTCAGGTAAAATGGGCACAAAGAATGCAAGTCCAGAATCAGTTTTTCTGAGTAGACTCTACATATTGTACTCCAAAGAACTTTGTTTATAACACCCAGCTCTGGTGGCATTAGCAGTGTAACTGGACAGCACAGATTGCCAAAACCCTCCCAAGATCCTGGACAGATGTTTTGATCAGAAACCTGTGACTCTTTTCCTGGCTGTACTTATCACTGCCCAAGCTGGTGCCAGGACCCCAGCACCCCTGCCCAGGATTCACTTACACTGGGGATTCTCTATCAAGTTATACTTCATTAGCAGAAATACAAGTTGCTTTTATTCATACTCTAAGCAAAAGTGGAGTGAAACCTATCTATTTATTTACATTTAATTAAAGATATTACGGTTCTAGATATCAAAAAGTCTGCCTCTCTGTTTCACTGCTTCCACAGGTAACAGCTATATTGTTATTTAACTGTATTGATCTATACATAATAAGAGTTAAACTTGCCTCATACTTTCTAAATAAAAACATTCTTGAATATATGCCAGAAACACATGCTCACTACCCTTTTAATGCCTCACTTGTTATTAGCCTCACAAAGCAATAGAAAGAGATCAGCTGCTTAATTTAGGAGGATGCTTTCTAGCACCATCTTGTATCCAATTGGGAATTAATCACAGAAACAGTCAGAAATATAGCATTTCTTATTAAACAGGAGAAACTACAGAAGCCAAACCACTACTTAGCTGATCATAATGCTTCAGGGATCCAAAGGGAATTGTATGCAACTTTTTCATATTACTAGAAGGGTTGTTCTGATGGGCCTAATGCTCCCAAGTATGTTTCTACAATTTCAGTAGTACAGAAACATTTTTCAGTTTTCCTCACTAAAGTTTGCACAGGTTTGTCCTGTCTTAGAACTTATGCAACTATCTCACCCATCTCTGACTTGGCAAGACAAGTGCTTAAGTTAATTCTGAAGGACTAATATCTAGTAAGAGATTGTACAGGGACCAACAATGGGCCTGGAATTAGACTCCTCAGGCTTTAGACCCTGCAGTCATGCAGGGCAAATCACACAGTCCTGCAGTTTCTCTAAAATGCACTCATTTTCATTAAACATGTCAAGGTCCTCCAGTGAAAAGGACTTCTGTGATTTGATTTGTTTGTACTGTTACGGACCTAAGAGAAGACAACAGAGATCAACTTTCTATTTTGCCCAAGCAGTCCATAGCAAACAAAGGGTGACAGAGAAAGCGAGGAGACAAGGAAGGTCATGACCATTTTATCTGGATGGGCAATGAAACACTAACAAATTGAATCCCTGAGACACATCCTGTAGGTTCATATCAGAGCCAGGAGTTTACTCTGCAATTCATCTCTGGAGCAGGGCTCCAGCCACAATGCCATTCCTCCTGGCAAATACAGCTGTCTGTGAAGCAAAATATTCCTACATTTCTTAGATCTCTAAAAGCAGCAAGAGACACTTTATAGCACAGAGCTAAGTTAAAGGAAGAACTGTAACATCTCTTCCATATCCCAGTGCCTGTTGCACACTGTGTTTGACAACTTAACTAGATATCACCAGTCCCCAGGACAAAGGCTCTTTTCAACACTCCATTTCTCTGTGTAGATCTCAAAAGAGTTAGCCTGCCCTGGTAAGAAACAGAATTTCCTCTGCTATGACTCCACTGTCTCAGTGAATAACACAGACCACTACATCCAATTTAAATTGACCAACTGTTGCTTTTCCTATCCAACCACTTTTTTTGCACCCTCAAGATAACCTCTTCAAAAAGAAATTGAAAATAAGGTTGGAACTGCCAAAGTTGCAGGAAACCAGCTGTTTGCTTATCTAGAATCACAAAACAATTTAGGTTGAAAGACATCTCTGAAGGTCATCTGATATAACTCCCTACCTAAAAACAAGGCTAACTTAAAAAGTAAATCAGTCTGCTGAAGGCCTTCATTGGCCAAGTTCTAAAATCTCCAAGGACAGAGATTCTGCACCCTCTCTGGACATTGTTCAGTGTTCAAGTAAGAACAAACCAATGATACTTCCAAGTGCCCCATACACTTCCAGTGAAGGAGAGCATGGTATCATTATGGCACTGTGGGGCTAAACAGACAGTGATGGGCCCATGAGACCATAAAGGCATTGTGGGGGGAAGCCAGTACATGGCTTCACAAAACATCTTTCACTGCTAGTGACGCCAACAGGGCAAGTCCTGCTGCAGTGCAGCATCCATTCCTGCTGCCCACAGCATGAGATATGTAAAATCCTTTTTCCTGCAGTGACTTGGCTTTGTTTCTGTGTATCTGGTGTGTAGGCGAGGAGTTCTGCACCTGCACGAAAGCCGTGGGATCCATGACCTTGGCTTGCCTCGCTGGCAGCTTTCCCTCTGCCTCTTGGTGGTGGTAATCATTCTTTTCTTTAGTCTGTGGAAAGGCGTGAAGACTTCGGGAAAGGTAGAGCTAATATTGTCCTTCTATCTCAACTACATTCTTTGTCTCCTTTAAAAAGTCTCCTAATTTTAGAAAGCGAGAAAGTAAATCACTGATTCTGAGGGATCCTTGGGGACCAAACCATGTGAGAGACCTTCACATATGTACAATGAAAATACACGATCCCAATTCAGCCTTTATTGTATTTGCAAGCCTTGCTTGTGTGATGTTACAACTGGAAACTTTATTAGCATATTATTTTCAATTCAACAAAAATCTCTGAATTGCAAAAAAGTGGTCACATCCAGAAAATATTTTTAAATACTGAAAATTGTCTTAAATGTGCATCCTATTCTTAGCCAAATGTACTAATGCTTCAATGGCATTGAATACTTAGGTTTTATTTTATACAATACCACATCAAGAGAAAGACCTGATCAAAGTCATTTGAAGTTACTCTGACATCCCTCAAAAACCACCTCAAGAAAAATTCTAGGGTTGGATACATCTGAGAGCTATTTGTACATTTTCATGCCAGTATCATCTAATATGATGACTGCACTATTTTAGTAAATGATACAGAGCTGAGCAGCTCATTGGCAGTCTAACACATGTTGGTAATGTCTTCTGTTTGTCAAAACTGCCTCCTACTGGTATCTGTAAACTTATATCTGAAAAGACTCATAATACATAACAGCATTTTCCCCCTTTACATTTCCTGTAAAGAGCTTCTCCATCAAACTGAATGGCCAAACCAAGAAAATGCCAGCTGTGCTTATCACACATTCTTAAATCTTCTGTAAGAGCTCATCAGTCTTTGGGATTTCTGTTGTCTGCAGGTTGTTTGGATAACAGCCACTTTGCCTTATGTTGTATTATTTGTCTTACTAATACACGGAATAACCCTCCCTGGTGCATACAATGGAATAAATGCATACCTGCACATAGATTTCAGAAGATTAAAAGAAGCCACAGTAAGTGTACTTTTCTGCTCTCATTCCCTTATTATTAAACCTGCTGCCTTGTTATTAAAACTGAAAATATTACAGCTAACTTCTGAACTTGTATAGCCACACTTCTGCTTCTGCATAAGCACTAGTCCACTGTCTCTGACAGTCTAACTTTACCACTCTCCATAACAGCACTATTTCACACCAAACCCAAACAGTTCAGGTCACAAAACACTTGTCTGAAGGCAGTTACAGGTCTGGCAAACCCTTTAAAGAGTCCATGTTTTGACTGTGCACCCAGCGAATTACAGTATTCTTTATACAAGAAAATGAAGTCATGCAAAAATTTAGTTCTCAAAAGGCTAAGAATTCCCTCAAGAAGAAAATCTTGCTATTTTAATCACTAGCTTAATATTAACCTGATAAACAAAAATTCTGGCCCATGCAAATCTTGCTAAACATATAAAGTCATGACTAACTCACCTGTTCAAACCATGGTCCTTCATACAAAGGAGATCTGCAATAGCATGGTGTTCTTATCTTGCTATTGAAAGTAATCTACATTTCACTCTGTCACTTAACAACATTAAATATATATCCATACCAATTTACTTTGTGGAGTGACTTGGAACTAAGACTTATTTCGTACATTTTAAAGCAAGATCTACAAGTATCGTCACTAACTCATGAATTTACTGGCATTTCAGACCTACAAAAAATGAAGATCTGATGATTACAGAGATATTTTACCCGTACTATTCTAAAAAGATCATAAATCTTTTATAAGACAGTGATATCTCGATGGATGGGTCACAAGACCACTCAAATGGTATAAAACTGAAAAGCAATGACATCATTCTCCTAAAAGTAAATGCATCTTCTTGAAAATCTGCAGAAGGGTCTGCAGTCTGTCCATAGTTGCACTGTACCTTTCCTGTAAATCCTATCTTGATTTTTCCAGAATAATTAAAAAAGACCTTGAGGGTTAAGAATACAGAGCTATTTTATATACTTTTAGCAGAACAATACTTCCCTGGCTTTTTAATACTAAATTTGAAAACTTGCATTTCTTCAATAACAGAAGTTTTCACCAGAACCCAGACCACATCTCACTCTGTTTTGGAATAGTAAAACCAAACTTCAAATATGGTACTTTCATCACAAGGCAGTAGCCACCCCAGTAGTCCATACATTTAAATACAAAGATGCAAGGATGAACAAAGAAGGTGATTAAACTTTTCTTATGTATTTTAAGTACTGTTTGGAGAAAAGCATCATAAATTCAAGTAGATGTCTATGGGGCTGTACCTGCTTGCACCAGCTCAGGATCTAGGCCCCCATGACCATAGCTACCCTCTGCTTCTGGAAGGATATTCTGTGCACTGCTCTTTCATAGCTTATTATTTCTGCAGCTGCTATTTAAGTGACCCTAAAGTTACTTGTTGCAAAGACGAAATTTTTCAGACAACAACAACAACAAAAAGTTGCTCTAGAATAATAAAAGACTAAAGAGCAGTTATACAGACAAGTTTCACTAATTGCTTTGCCATGTCAGCCTTTCCCCTCTTGGAGACTGGGATACCTGCTGCTGCAATAGTCCTGTTTGTTTAATCTTAGTTCTCAGGCTCCAAAGAATAGAATCCCACTTCAGCTCTATGTCAGTGCATCCCTGGATATGATTTATGATTTTTTTTTTCTTCCAAATGAAAACAAAGAAACATTGTAAGTCACAAAGAGTAATGACACGGAGGCCTCTGCCAATGCTCTTCTAGAAGACCTCAGAGCACCCAGATCAATGTCCAGATATGCCTCATTTTAGGGAGCCACATCCTGCACAGCACTGACCAAGCCCCAAGACACCTCAGTTCTCAGGGATATTGAGTCCACAATCCTGTCTCTATAAAAAGGAGAAAAAGATATTCAGCTGAGGATCTTTTAACTAGACCAATGACCAATTCCTTGCTGAAAGCCTAAGAGCTACAAAGTCACAATGCTCATCTCCACTGCACAAATGGATATGTTAAACATCTGTGTAAAACAGAACCTGTGTTCTGCTAAAGGGATCAGTGTTAATTAGGGACTTAAATCAGACGTGGAGGCGACACTCACTCTTTCATTCACTTTAGCAAATATCCTGAAGATTATATAACACCTGGTGCTGCACACAATGTTTCCTCTCCTCACAGTACAATAACTTGTTAAATCCACATACACAAGAAAGAATAGGCACAAAAGTTAAATGCCAAACAGTGAAGAAAGCTGGAAAGACTGATGGCTGCCTCCTGTAAAATGCTTCTATTTTTTTCATTTTTCATGCATATAAAACCAATATCCTACCATAAAATATATTAGACTATTCATCAGTCAGTCAGCTGAAGTGAAAGAGAACATGAGCATCAACAGCAGAACCAGTCCCACTGTCTGCTTCACATCCTGCTTCGGTAGAACAAAAGGAATGTCTTGCATTTAATCTTAGTTGTAAAGGAATTTCTGGTTTCTGCTCTTTGTAACCTTCACCTTGATCTTCTCAATTTGTTTCCTAATCAGCTACTAAGAGCCAAGACTCTTACTTAATAGACACGGTGCATAAGTTCTTTGGGAGGCAGCAAGTGCTAATGTCTTACTTCAATGAATAGGACTTAAGCACCTGCTTAAGGGTGCTTGAATAATAAGAAAGGGGAAGCACAGTGAATGCAATTGCACTGGCAAGACACAGAAGAGCTAGAGAACCACAGAAACAAGTGCTTTATGGTGGCACCATGCAGACCTAGTTATGGTTTAAACAAAACTGATGCTACACATGTTCAGGAATTTTGTTAACAGGGGTTATCTGAAGTTTTTAAAAAAACAAGAAAAAAATATAAAAGGTTTTGCACCCCTCCTTCTGCATTCTTATCCACAGAAACGCTTTTAAGAGACCACAACCCTATTAGATATCAACCTTCATGTGAAAATAGAATATTAAGATGTAACTGGTATATAAAAAGAATGAGCAAGGAATTGGTGTTACAGGATTGTCTTGCTATTATTGAAAGAAATCCATGATACCTAGAAATCCTGTATGAACTGCAATTTCTTCTGGAACTCCTCCAGTTAAGTGAGAAAGCTGACAGATAACCTGCCTGGTTCTGTTCACAGCACATCAACTGTGCTTCAGTGTCTGATTCAAGAAAGCATCATATGAAGTTTACTAACAGTCACACAAAGAAAGCTCCATTATGGGAAAGAAGATGTCCTGTAACTCTTGACCCATTAACTATTTTTAGTTTTCTGATTGTACATTCCAAACTAACTTGGAACAAGGACTATTAGAAGTATATTTCTGTCACTCAGGAGAAAAATCCTGTAATCATTTCAGTAGTTGGTGAAATCTCAGAGGTACAACTGCCCACCCCACAGGTAACAGGGTGCACAGAGCAAGAATGTGCCAGAAGTTACCCCATTCCAGACCATGACCATGCTCCATGTGACACCTCACTGGGGCTGGAGGCTCTTACACTCCCACAAGCATGAATGCCAATTGTTTTCGAAAAGCCAGTTTCTTTGTACTCTCTTGCTTTTCTCCTGATGTATCCCTGTGGACTGAACTGACACTGACCATGTTGGTGTCATTATGCAGGTGTGGATTGATGCAGCTACTCAGATATTTTACTCCTTAGGAGCTGGGTTTGGTGTTTTAATTGCATTTGCCAGTTACAATAAGTTTGACAACAACTGTTACAGGTAAGAGCCTATTCTTTCATTACTATTGCAAAATTATACTGTTTTATTCTGACTGCAGCTGGAATAAGTACTGAGCTATCTTTATCTTCAGTCGTTTGTTAATGACAGTGAGTTTTGCATAGACATAGCAACCAACCCAAATCTTGTAACACTGTCTTCCTTACTGAAATTTTAGTAACAGGGACCTGCCAAGATATCTGCTGCACTGCAAAAACAGAATGGGATTAGGTCTGGACTTTAGACAGCTGTGTAAACTGTGCTGGTGTTTGCCTTTCAAAAGTACCATTAAGCGCAACAGTGAGCACAGGGTGAAATCTCATTGGTCCAGGAACTAATAGCAGAAAGATTCCAGTTTCCAGAAGTGTTTTTGTGCTTCGGGATTATATTTCTGATATTTCATGTTGAGTTCCAATTTAGGAATGCACTTTAAATCAAGACAGTTGCTAAGTGCCTTGCTGAATCACCGCCATGGAAATTCAAACAGAACTGCTCTGCACCTTCTGAGAAATTCCAACATTTAGACATTTTGCTAACATTCCATTTTGGAATGAAAACAAGCATCACTTAAAATTTTCCCGTGAAATATAAATTCAAGAAGTACACATATTATAAATACATTGTGAACTGAAGGATGGAAAGGAAAAAGAAAAGTTAAAGACAATCCCTATCTAGTCCTTAAAGTGGTTTTGATTTTTTTTTCCTCACTGGGCTGTTCCTCTTTCCACAATTAGGGATGCTTTGCTGACTAGTACCATTAACTGTGTCACAAGCTTCATCTCGGGATTCGCAATTTTCTCCATACTGGGATACATGGCTCATGAGCACAAAGTTAAAATTGAGGATGTAGCTACTGAAGGTAGGAAGTTAATACTAATTTTACCCCTTTTTTTGCAAATGTGTATATATTAATATTAGTTCAAATTAACTTGCTTGGAACTAGAACTCTGCCTTTAAATGCCTTGTTGAAATGTGAACTCTAAATGATTTGATTCATCTCCCCTCTACTGAACTGAGGTTCCCCAACATCTTGCCCCCTCCACGAGTGTTGCCTGTGCAACAAACAGGCCTTTGACTGTTTTTGATGGTTCTGGTGAGCTCAGCTCTCTTGTCCTTTCACTGGTAACTCATCACACCCAACAGTTCTCCTGCCAAACAGTGGAGTCCACACCACGTGGTTCCTTCTCCCCCGCATTGCTGAAAAATAGCCTTGCCAATCCCATACAAGGTTATTCAAAGTGGAAAGAATGGCATATATTTTTTTTTATTATTACCAAACTGTCATGAGTAAATAATTAAAGTATTTTGGATATATTTTTGGTAAAATGCAAATTTTGTTTTAACAGTTACTCAGAGTATAATGGGAAGTGAAGTAAAAGTCAACTTACTCGTAATTTACCTTATTAAAATGAGCACTTTTGTGACAATAAGAAACATCATTTAATAATACTTTTTTTTTTTCTGTTTTCTATTCCAGGAGCTGGTTTAGTTTTCATCCTCTACCCAGAGGCAATTTCAACTCTTTCAGGATCTACGTTTTGGGCTGTGGTGTTCTTCATCATGCTCCTTACTCTTGGCATCGACAGTTCTGTGAGTAATTTTTCCTTCTAGCCTTAACATTTTCCTTTAACTGTTATATTCCTTAAGTGGAGAGGTATCAACCTTAAGCAGGGCATTACATTTCAAATAAACATTCTGTACATTCCCTGAATCTGTTTTCACAGTCACAGCCAACATAGCAATAGTATTACTACCAGTATTATATTTAAAGACTCACAATCATTAAGAGATTTAGGAAAATATCAAATCTTTTACAAGCCAGAAAATATTTACTCACTGCTACTTTTTTTACAGTGGGGCTGTTCATCAACAATTATTACTGTTTAAAGGTATAACCCAACAACACTACTATGAACTATTACTGCTGTGAACCTGCAATAAGGTTTTGGAACCCTGCTTGCAAAACACAGTAAGACATTGAGTAAAGTAGTTTCTAGAAGGGATTTTTATATGTGCTAAAGTCCATCCATCTGCTCAAGACACACAATGTCTGAAGGGAGTCCCATTTTTTTCTACAAGCAATGATACGGAATTTCCTGTAAATTTAGTCACAGTTTAAAAATCACACCAGAATATTTCATAGTGGTTTCATTTTACTACAGTCTTGCTGTAAAATGTCCAGTCAAACAAGTGTATTTGCTCTTTCTATAATGTGGTAAATTTTACTACACCATGATATTCAGGATCATAAAGACTTCATCCCACAAAACATTCCAAGTCCCTCAACAACTTTTGTGCTGCTTTGTTCTTGCTAAAGAGGCATCAAGATATCCTGATATATTTAGCTTAAAGGTTGAATAATTTCTGGGAATACTGAATAGGGTCTTTAAGGAATAATGAACCATGAATAAACATTCATCCTCTTTAGCAGGGTAGGGGTTTCTTACTATTCCAAAGCATAGAAGTCTCTTTTGTAGTTCTGAATGTACAGAGTTGATCTAGGAATTTCTTGCTAGAAATGGCAAAACAGAGTGTTTCCATTGCTTGCAACATCAGGAAAATTAATTCATTTTCAAGGACAAGAAAACGAAAGAATCAGTTGACAAGGAGAAGATCAAAACTAAGAAAAATGAGGTTGGAACAGGAAGTTTTGATATTCATTACCAAATAGCTGAATGAGATCTTGTGGAGTGAGGGCTGAGCTCTAAAGGTCAGATTCAAGTCTAAATGTTTCTGAAATGTTTGGATTTTTGGATTTCAGCTCAGGTTCAATGAAGTTTGAACTTTATAACTAAGATCTGAATCCTTATACAAAAGTTAGATGGAAGATCATATCTGGGTTCGTAGCTTGGCCATTTTTCCACTATAAGCAAAGATGGAGAATGGAAATGAAGAGTTTAGCACGGTGAAAGAGCAAAAATGACCAGTAGGAAAAGGACAGAATTAAGGAGAAAATAAACGCTCAAAAGTGTTTAGATCCAAAACTGTTAACATTGCAACAGCAGTAAATTTAAGACAATGTAAAAAAACATTTGAATGGCAAAGACACAGCTTGAAATTGCAGAACACACTTTTCCTACAAGTGGAGAAAGGTCTTTCTTGTGGAGCTAATTAAATACTGTGAACTAATGAACTGTGGCCAAGTTTATCTCTTTCTTTCTGAAAGAGGAAGGATTTGTCATCATTTCCCAAGGAAAACTCAGGTCATGCAGTACTATTTATGGTGATCTTCTCAACTCTCCCCCCGCATCTGACTGATCAAGTCCCTGAAGGGAAAATTAAAATTTTTAAAGCTAAAAATCAAATAACCCCAAAGCTAGAGAAGAATAATTATACATGACTACTTGTATTCATGCACATAAGCCTCCACTGGCACAGAAATACAAAAAATTGAATGATCTGTACAAAAATGGAACTGTCACAATGTAAAAGAAAGAAATCTGACCATGCGAATTTAAGCAAGCAACAGTGAAAAGGGCAGAAAGCAGAACAAATATTTGCAAACATTTTTTGAAGTAGGCATCTAGCTTGTTATAGGGAATTAACAAGGAGAGTAAATCATGATACATTAAGAAATGGTCCTTTGCCAAAATAGTCCAAGCTGTCTCTTTCCATTTTCAACTTCTCCAAGACCAGTTAAGTGCCAACACAGCAGCAACTTCTGAAGAGATCAAATATTAACCCATCTTAACTCCAGGGCACCCACTGATGCCCCCTGAGACACCAGGAAATACAAACTTACACAGTGTTTTGGGACATTTTACTTGTAAACGTTAGTTACCTTTAAAGAAAAATTGGGTCCACTGCCCCCAGCTCCATGGCTCTAGGTCGGAATTATTCCAATTCTAAACAGACAATTCTCTGCTGCTGATTTCAACCAGAGCTGCTGGTTTCATCAGGAAAAGGACAGGCTATGTCAGCACCTACTAACCAGCCATTGTATTGCACCAAGCACTCCAGGTCTTGCCATGGTCTTCCAGTATCACAAAAGTAATGGAATCCAGCCTCTCCAAATTATTAAATGAATTTATTTATTATGACAAAAGACTGAAATTAATTTTCATAGCTTCTTGGTGAGTGGGGGCAGAATGTTTTCATTAATGGAAAGAAATTAAAATTCATAACCACATACATAACCCAGCAATTTCAGTGAAAATTTGGAAAGTACCTTTCTTATATTGCAAAACAAGTGCTAATGTTCACCATTGACTTCTAGAAAACAAAGTGAAATTCTTTCATGTTGTCAACAGAAAGACATTACATCAAGTTTCCTGTGTAGTAATTCCACCAAGTGTGTAAAGATTTTCATCAAACTGGAATTGGTTAAGTGGCTAAAGTGAATCTTTCTTCAGCACATTTCCTCTAGATGTTTCTCGTGCCTGTCTTTATAAGAAATATCTTAAGGAGTTTAGTTACTGAATCTACCAGCTCTTTCTCCAATGTATATTGAAATGTGTATTATTTTTCCCAAAGTACTTATTGTCCTGAGTCAGCAGAGTCTGCACAGGATATGGCTGTGGAGGCAACAACCATCACACTTGAGTCCCCTGACACTCTCCTGAGTGAAGAGGAGAGTTAGAAAATTAGGCCTCATAACACCAGTGATTTGCAGCTGAACTGTCAGAAAGCATAGAGCGGTTGGGTATTAACGATACAAGCTGCTTTACATTCTTTGTCTGTGTTTACAACAGTCAGTAGGGTTTAACCAGAGCTCTTGCCTTCCCTCCCTCAGATGGGGGGAATGGAAGCTGTCATCACTGGCTTGGCAGATGATTTCCACATTCTGAAGCAGCACAGGAAGCTCTTCACCTTTGGTGTTTCTTTTGGCACTTTCCTACTTGCTCTTTTTTGCATCACCAATGTAAGTACAACAAAAGTTTCCATCAACATCCTACCTTAAAAATGCAATTAACCCTATGAGATAGAATTATGGATAGGTTCAGGTGACTATTTTTGTTATAAATGTTAGTTCTTTAACTTATGGTCAGAACAGCACTTTTAATCTCGTATATATATATATATATATATATATATATATATATATGAAGCTTCTCTGGTTTTTGGCACAAGGTCACTAGCTATCAACCAAACCAAGTCCTTATTCCAAAGAGCTGACTGTGCTACGATTGGTTTTGTTTGATTCTGGGTGTTTTGTTTTGTGTTTGTTTGGGGGTTTTTTGTTTGGTTTGGTGTTGCTTTGAACTAAGAATTTCAAGTGACCAGACCCTTCATCATCTGGCTGCTGTTGTCTTGAAGCAAGTAAGAAGCACTCACTTCGTGTTAAAGGAGTGTAGAATAATGATCTCCTCTCACCCACATGTTTCTTAATGTTCCTTCATGTACCTAGATCTTATCTCCTACTCTTAACACCATAAAAAAAGCACACAGATAACTTATCCTGAACATCTAGTAACTGCATTTATCACTACCATCACCCTGAATGATTTGCCTCATCTGGCTTTTGACAACTAATTAAGGAATGAGAATCACAGTGTTCTAGGTTGGGGAGAACTTTCCTTTATTTGAGCAAAAAAAAGGCAAAAGAGACCTGTAAGCAAAGATGCCAAAAGTGTTAGAAAACAACTAAAACTTGAGGTACCCTCTGTGAAAGCAGATGTGCTGAACCTCTCTCCATCCCTAGAAATGGTTTCCAAATCTATTACTAAGACTACTCAAATGGCATAAGTTCATAAATAACAAAGTTCTTCTCACACTAAAAGAATACTCCAATATTTTTACTCTAGTTTCCTCAGACTGAAAAACATTTAAGACACTAAAAGTAGATATGCAAAATACCTATCCTTTTAATACCAAGCTACCTCTATTAATACCTAAAAACTGATCATGCTCCTTCTTTATCTAAGTTTCAATTGAATTAAAATTTCCTGAAGTACGAGATGAGAAGAAATTCAGTGTTAAGAGCCTGACCAGGTCCCAGTGGGTGCAATTCCTCTGCCTTCAAGTGAACTAAAGTAGTTCAAGGTAACAACCTAGCTCCAGCTTTTAAGCTGTTAAGATTTAAGTTCACCCCTCTAGCTGGAATTCACAAAACTGTCCAGACTTGTCCAAATGTATTAGTACACGTAACTGAGGAACAACATTTCTAATGTGTACAAAATAACAAGAATAACCCGTATGAGACCATCACACGAAATTCATGTTTCATTTTGCCCTCTGAAACGTTAAGGCTGTATATTCAAAAGCAGCTGTTTCTGAAACAAATATGCTTCTTACAAAATCATATTTGTCATTCACTTTACCAAGTTTGATAGCAAAGACATTCGTTTGGAGCAGGTGTAGAGCAAAAACAAGAGGTCAAACTCAAATGTCATTCAACAAGCAACATTTTCTTTCTAACGCAACAACCAAAGTTCATTCAGTTTCCGGACAAGTCCCCACAGAATTAAAAACCTAGACAAGGCCTAAATACTGGGCTCTCTATTTTTGTAAATATGCACAGCTGTTTCAGAAAAACATCTTTTTATAAGAAAAAAAAAAAGGAAAGTGATTACAAAGATTAAAATCACCTACAGATCTAAATAGTGCAAGTGTTAATTATACCATTAGGGTAAAAACACGTAAAATGATTCCTTTGTTCCTCCCCTTCTAAACAGACATAGTCAGATTAAGTTTGGTTATAAAAGAAGATTTTAACAAAAATTTACTGCAACTACAAACACTTCAGTTGTTTCCAAGTGACAAAGAACGTCCTGAAGCACTTTACCCAGGTTCATTTCGAAACAAGTAAACATAGCATGGTCTTCCATTCCTTGTTAGCCCAAACTCAGTAAAATGAGCAAAATACATCAAATGACACAAATACACAGCACATTGTAAAACAAGGCAAAAAGTGGTCTAAGACTGCAGATTCGCTGGACTACAGAACAAATGGCCAGGAACAAACTGACTGATAATGGCTTGTGGAAACTTGTGGAGGTCCATTCCTGCCATAAATTTAGGAAGTTCTACATTAACTGCTCTAGATGAGCCCTGCCCAACAAGCTACTGAATATTTCCCCAAACAGCCAGTGCCTTCAGCTCCCACTGAACAGCGGTACCAAGAGAACTCATGAATCAGGCTAAGCTGAGGCTTCTGTTTCCCAGTTAAGTGAGGACATGGATGAAAAGAAGCCTCTTTAGGAGAGTTGCAAGTCTGATTCCACTATTTTGCATGCAAATATGAACTCGTGTCTGCAGCAAGAGATCCATATTAAAATACTTGGGTTAAGATAATGTTTCGAGTAAAGCAGATTTCTGTTAAGTTGATACTAAACTACCAGGATTATTCTATCTGTAACTTGATTTTGTTGCATCTCTGAACTCCCCAATGCCAGGGTGGAATTTATGTTCTCACACTTCTGGACACATTTGCAGCTGGGACTTCAATATTGTTCGCTGTTCTTATGGAGGCAATCGGAGTTTCCTGGTTTTATGGTAAGCACTTCATTTTGCATGTGCTAAATAAACCTTTTCTAAAATCCCAAGTGCTCATGACAGACTTACACATTGTTTTAAGGGAAAACAGCATAGCCTTGTACACTTGAAACCAAGACAAGTCAGGTTTCATGGAGTGATTGTCACCTGATTCATGAATAGTGAGAAGAATGCAGACAATGAGTGGGACAAGCTTTGAAACTCTGCACAGAGCCAAAGAAAATTGTCCTGTGAAAAAGATTGTGATGGGATGGAGAAGTTACTACTTCTGACAGTATTTAACAACTCTTGATATTGCTGATGACTTGCAGTAGCAGGTTTATTCCTGGTACTTTCCAAGCAAGTAGATTAACCCAAAGACAGAATCAGCTGTTCCCCCTTTTCTTCTTACCTTGAAGTCTGTATGGAACTTGCTGCCCTCATTCCCAGCAAGATTGTTCTTCCCCTGAAAGTCATCTTCATTTCTATTCAGACATAGTGTTTATAATTAATGTATGATTCAGAAGGTTCTTAGACATCATGATTCTCACTGCCACTTGCCTCCCTCAGTCACTTATTTATCCATCCATTTTGCCTCACCATGTTCTTCTAATCAAACAAGCTTTATCTTGCAGCTAAAAATTGTTGAAGAGTGAATTAGGTGAAAGAATGGCATTAATGTATAAAACTGTTCTATCTACTAAAGAAAGAGTTTCTAGCTTTAATGTACTAATTGTGTCATCCAACATCAGCATGGAGCTAGCAGCACATGTGCTGTTGTCTCTCAGAATAGTAGAGGCACTGTATTTCACAGACAACTGTCTTTAATCCCCATAAAAGAGCTGAATGCAGAGGGGTGTTCATAGCTTAGCTTGGAAGCAGAGGCTTCTTCTGTTAGGAAGGGCAAATTATTTTCTGCTACTGTTAAAACAGGATTTACTGCACTTTGCAATAGCTAAGCTTTGTATGTGGTTCACAAACTAAGCCAAGGTTAGTCAAATTTTATTTTACACCCTCTGTCCTTTATCATTCTTTCCTTTCTTCCTCTTGCCTCCCTGTGATGAGGAAAATATCTATTCATTTTTCTTAGGCACTGACAGATGTTTTTACTGACACAGCATGACCTGTTGCTTTATAAAGAACTTATTACAGCCCCAAGTGCTATTTAAACTGATTAAATCTGGCATGATCTTGTCCACCTCTTCTTTCTGATAGACCCCAGTTGCCTTAATGACCCAGCTGAATATTAAGCCAGCCTGAAGGCAAGCATTGACATTTTGGCACAGACTAAAAACATGGAAATTTAGTTAAAATTTTACCTCTGACCACTTACTATCAAGTTTCTCCTTGCAAAGGCCAACTGAAAATGTAAGAGAAGGAAGAACTAACTTGTTCTACTATGCAAATGTACTTTGGTAACAAGCTCGCAGACATAACTAATTTTCCTCATGTGCAACCCTGATACTATTTCTCTGATGAATATCCTAACAAAAAAGAAAAAAAAAAAAAGAGCCAGACACCTCTCCCACTGGCACAAAAATGCTCTTTGGTTTCAGTTGCAGGAAAATCTCTACTCAATCAGACATTACTGTGAACACCCACACCACCCTGAACAACAAGAACAAGCTCAGTATGAGCTCTCAATGATATTCATCCTTATCTGCAATCTCATTGTTTTCAATTACTTAAATGATTTAAAAGAAAAAAAACTCCTCAGACTGAATTTTCAAACCAAAAGGTGAATTTATTTTTTTAAAAAAAATCATAACACCAAAACCCAGAAAAAACCCAACCAACAAACAAACCAACCACCCCAGCCAAAGGTCAGCTGTTTGATTTTGCAGAAAGGAAAGAACTTAACCAAGCACTGGCTGCTGATACTCACCTTTGCTCACAGATTTATTGGTGTGGATGTGTGGCTGGCATGAGAGAGTATCAATGTGCTCATTTCCACAGAATGAAAATACAGATGGGGTAAACCAACTTAGAAAGCTTACTGTGCTGCCATGGGGGGATATTGTTCGCTACAGTTCTGCTTGCTTTTGCATCAGCAAGGTTTGCTTTTACGCTAGCACATTCTTTGGGAATGGCACTGCTATGGCTCACTTCCTTCCTGCCACCAGACCAGGTAAATCATATGTATAGCATTAAAGGCAGTATTACTAATTTTTACTTTCCAAATTAAAAAAAAAAAATAAAAATCATTCCAAACACATAAGAGAATACTATATATGACATAGCTAAACAAGACAGGAGGGGAAAACAACCCCTACAAAGATTGCTTGCAGAGATCCAAACAATTGTTGGAGCTACACCCTAATTCTTGGAAACATGCCCACAAATTATTTCAGCTACAGCCACGAAGCAGTTTCACCTCATGGCCAGGACCTACTCAAAGGCTTCTGTGCAAGTGAGTGGTTCTGAAGCCACTGGCTGAGCCTGTACAGCAGAATAACTTACCCAGTTCTAGCTGGCAGCAGGTGCAGGACTTAATGGTAACATGTAGGCTTTCATTCTATCTGAACTCTGATCTCTGCATCAGGTAAAAGATTGTTCCAGTGTGAGGAGGGTAACTTGCTTTTATAGCCATAGAAGTCCACTTTTCATTCTCTTCCTAATCTGTTGGGTTTTTGTATGTTGATTTAATTCCCTTGATAACACAATATTATGTACAAATTTTCTGTGCCATTTAATAGACCATGACATAACAGAATGGTGACAATTCTCAGGCAGCTGCAGTGTTTATTAGTTCAGAAATTACACTGAAAGTCTCTTTGGGTTCAGTGTGTTTAACCAGGACCTCCCAATAAATTTCAAGTATCTTTTACTTAGTTTTCCCTGGAAAAGCAAGGAGATTATTTCCATATTCCCCACCATGTCTCCAGCAAGTAATCTGGACTTTTATTTGTGGTCATGCCAGTTTCTTCCTGTAACTAAACATCACCCACAGTTTTTGTTTATCACAAAATAACCTGAGTAAATGCTTCCAAGAAGTGTAAAAAACCAAGCCCTACAGGTACCATCATCTATAGCTATAACTATGCTCTGCTTTACTGATTCTTAGAACAGTTATTTGAAGACCTGTAGTACTGAAAAACCCTGGTGTTGGACAGTGCAGTCTGAGAGCATGACCTCCCTGTCCCCCATTTTCAGCAGAAATCAAACACCAAGCACTGTTTGAGCTCTACCTGCATCTATCTGGAAACACATGAATAAATTTTTTTGAGATATCTAGTCCTTGTCTTTGACCTTCTACACAATGATAAATTTCAGTCAGTATTCATAGCAGTTGAAATTCAGTCACTTTAAAGTTCACAAAAAGGCACTGCAAATAGAATCAGATTAAATTTAAAGAGCATTTGCAGATCTTCTTGGCTACTTCTCTTCACCTGTACGTAATATTTGGGCTGGAAAATCAAAGAGACATTTACCCTCAGATGTCCAGACCCTGTAAATATTTTGCATCCTTGTTGCATGTAAAGGATTAACTCAAGCTGTCCCAGTTATTTACATTAAATAAATTGTACTGAACTAATCCATATGAAGAGAAACAATCATTATGGAAAATTATACATCTCTCTAATAAACAAATACTCATGGCAAAAAGCTGCATTTCTACTGTTTACCTAATGGGGTTCAGGAGTGAAAGTAAACTTCTTGAACACATAAAGTATAATAAATTATAAACAAGTAGTCTGACATGACAGAATGCACTAGAGAGGTCTCTGTGAGCCAGCATCTCTGAGGTGTAAAGTCAGAGATTGTTTTGTTCTTAAAGAAAACAGAGAAGGATACTTTATTCCCCATTTTATATCAGTGATAATCATCCCGTTCTAAAATGATATCATTTTGTATATAATTACACTGAACAGAAGAAATGTTGCCCTAGTTCCTTGGAAAAGTGATAAAATATGAAACTCTATTTGTAATAGATATAATGAAAATTCTGTGATATTCAGTGAAACACCAAAAGGTCAGTATGCCATTAAGTGGAACATCTCCTTTGATAAATTAAGAATCATATGGATTTACTTCATTATCAGTAAGCAGTTTGTGTGAGTGAGGGTCTAGATTTTCCTTCAGTGTACTCATAATAGCATGGAGTAATTAGATTACAATAGCCCACAACTATTTAAAAAAATTTGTCCCATTTGCAACTTAAATTCTAGATATTTGTCAAATGCCTCTTTTCAATGGTAATGCTGTCTGCAACAGGCCTGAAGTGCCTTTAAAGGCATTTAAGTCTTGGACACAGTGATGTCAGAGACTCATCTAGTCACTGAAAGGAGATCAATTTCATATATCTTCTAATTTGGAAGTCATTCGTGTCTGCTTACTGAAAAAGAATATGTTTTGGGTACGCCAGCATCTCATCAGTTTAGATTTACGTCAGTCCCATGTTCACATCCATTCTAGGTGTGGACAGATTCAGTGAAGATATCCAACAAATGATGGGCTTCAAACCAGGCCTCTACTGGAGATTGTGCTGGAAATTTGTTAGCCCTGCTTTTTTATTGGTAAGTGTTGAGAAATATTTCATCATGGAAAGAATACTAGTGTTTTGCTTCCCAGAATATACAACAGATACCAAGAGCAGGATACCCATTGCTGTGCCAGATGTTGTCGGGAGAAACAGAAGACACTCCAATTTAATTCTTTTCTCTCTTCAGTTGCATTGGTTATATTTTGTATAATACATTTCAGTTATGAAAGAGAAGCTAATTGTGGCTATGGTCTTCTTCTGCGCCTTCATTTTAATGTGATTTTAAGGAAGTAGCTTTTCTTAGGTAACACAGAACACTTATGCAGACACCACCCTGTCCCCCCCAGTACCTACACATATTAAACACAAACCATTCTACTGGGTAAATAAACTAGCCAGGGATAAGAGATTGTGTTAGTAAGAATGTATTTTTCATTGGAGAATCCTAAGATCCCCAAATTGTGGAATGACTCCTTAGAAAAACTAATATGTGACTGCACCCAGTAATTAGCTCTGTGAAACACTGAAGAGACATATTAAATATACCTTGTGAGCTATCTGTTGTGAATCACAAATTCTTCATTTCATTTGGGAAAAAAAAAAAATCCTAAAGTGTCAATTTGTTTGCTTTGTGTAAAGGTTAGATTCAACACTAAACTACAGTTTTATATTGGAATCTTTTCCTATGTATATTTTTAAATAAACGGTCAGGATAATAACATGGAAATTTGACCTCAATATGATTTTGGGAAACTATTAATTGCATTAAAGCTGTGTATTCTTAAAGCAGTACTGGTACTGAAAACATACACTGGGTAGGTTTTTATGCCAGGTCCACCTTTTTTAAAATATTAAAGCTTATGACCCCAATTCATCCGTAAGCACCTACCCAGCATGTATTAATTATCCTTTTAAAGACAGCTGTACAAAGAAACTTGTATGGAACTATATCCTGCAGCACTTCAAGAAGGCTGACTCAAGCAGAAAGGAAAAATGCTGCAGCAAGCATCCTTGGGTTTTGCACACAAGGATACACTTAAAAATTTGAATTTTATAAAGAGAGAGGTGAAGCAATTTATCTAGAGAATGCTGGAATGTCTGTCAGCCTAACCTTCAGGTAGCTTAAGACTTCTTGGTGAAATGGCCTAAATACCTTCCTAGCCAAGCCTATAAAGGTACTGCATTATCTGCAGTAGATAATGCATCTTTCAGCCATCACAAGGTACACTTGTTTTTCTCCACCTGTAAGTGCTCAAAGCTCTTTCCCCATACTGTCTGCAGCTATGTACATAAGCCCAAGAAAAATTTCTAAAAGGAATTAGTATTTTTCTAACCAGATTTCACACTATCAGCTCCCTTTAACCCACACCATTGGTCTCCTTGTGCAGTCTTTGAAACCCTAGGCTCAAAGTACTCTAATTTGAAATTGCATATATGGAGCAGAATGTATAGACCCAGAGAACCAAATCAAGGTACTCTGCATGTTACATATGGATTTAGCAGGAGGGAAGTAGGATGGCACCCCACTCTTTCCTTCTTGCACCTAGCACTGGACAGGATAGCACAGGAATTAAAAAACAACTTTGTTTTCCAGGCCTTGAGGCTGCTTGGCCTTTCCTCAGTAAATGTATCACCCTGGAATTTACATTATGCCTCTCATTGAAAAATAGGTACAAAGCTTCTAAATGAAGCCCAATGTCCCTGGGAAACAAAGAAGGGGAAAACAGTACATCCTGCAGAGAATTTTCTTGACCACAGAATCCCCGTTTTATGTCTGTAACACTAGTTTAAATGAGGCAGTAGCAGACAATCAGCTGATCTCCCCATCAAAACTTCAAATAATCTGTGTCTAGAGTAACTGAAGTGAGCTTTTAACACTAGTAAATGCATCAAGAACTTAAGCAGTAAGAGGCACGAAGTAAATAGGCTGAAGGTAAATAGTAGGGCTGGTTTGAAACATACCTTAGTGTGACTGCCTAATAGAACACATGGAATCAGTTTTCCAGTAACTTTCTTCATCTTAAAACTATGGCCTGTGTTATTGTTTCTCCCCCAGTTTGTCGTGATAGTCAGCATAATAAATTTCAAACCTCTGACCTACGACGACTACACCTTCCCTCTCTGGGCCAACCGCATTGGCTGGGGAATAGCATTATCTTCCATGGTACTTGTGCCTGCCTATATCATCTATAAATTTATGAATGTGCGTGGGACCTTTAAAGAAGTAAGTGGAGCACTAATCAAATGTCATGAAACGTTGCTGTGAAATGAAATGGCTGGATCTGAGTTGGCAGTTTATTTCTCTTACTCCCGAAACTTATTACTTATGAGTGACCTTTTGAATCTGTCCATCAGACAGATCAGAGTTTTGGGGTAGGATTACTGCGTGCTGGCTGAGCTTCTAGATAGAAATTGGCTTTCCAGACAGCACCGTTATAAGTTTGAAAAACTATTTTTGATGCCTGTAATTAATCCAGTTGATGAGATTAAATTTTGCTTATTAGCAAAAAATGTACAAATTATGCTATCATCATATTCAGCTCTGAGGTATGGTCCTCACACAGTTCTACCTGAACAGAGTTCAGTCCAAGGTGTGCTTTATCACTCTGTACTGGAATGTAAACTGTTATATGTACAAAGTTAATTTAGACTTCTCCTATTTTAGCACTGTAAGAATCTCTAAGCATATATCCACAGGCTGGGAGGGTGGGATGTGCCCGGGAGGTAGCTCTGTGTTCAGGTTGGCCATTTTTCAGTTAATGAGCATCCAGCACAACCAGAAGAAATGCCTTACTGGGTTGCAGCAACAGATCCATTTAGCCCAGTATTCTCTCTTTAACAGCAACCACGTTGTGTTTTACTCTCTTTGGCAAATATTTATCCTTATCATCTGTTTTACTGGAATTATTTCAACATTGTGGATATCAGAAAACTTGAAGAAACTTAATATTCAGTATAGACCAAGGTGCTGAAATAGATCTGGAAATCAAGAAAATTCTGATATAGCACCACTTATGTTCTCATCCAGCCTGTTACTTCTTAACTACTTCAGTAGAAGAGCCAGGGTACCAGACACAAGCATCTTGCACTACATAAACCCACTTCAAGCATAATGTGCCTACTCTGTGTACTGAATAAAGCAGAAATAGAGGGGAAAAAATTTGTGACCATCTTATTCTATTGATTTGCCTAGCAGCAAGAGGATTAACATAGAAAACCTAAATAGTGTCCTTTTAATTTCATTTATATGCTTATGTGTAATATTAATGTATTAATTCTATTGAAAAGAACCTCTTTCTATAGGAAAAATGCATCCATATTTCCTTACAGTTCACTCCCCTGTACTTTTCTTCATCTGTTCAAAAGGCACATTTTTACCATCATAATTATTTTACATCACTGTGATAGTAAATTACCTACAGTCTTAAATGGTGCTCAGAAGACTCCTCACTCAATTTTTTTCCCCATCACGTCATAATTTTATAACCTAATCTAGACTCCCTGATTTACACCTAATTGCATTGCTTTCCTTTCCAACAGCTGGAGTTACACAGCGGTGTAGCAAGATACTGACACTCAGGCAAATCACTGAACCATCACCATACAGATAATTAAGCATAAAATAGGATCTCAGCCTTTACATAGATAGGTCACAACCCCCTCACATTGACCTGGCAGACCCAAAGGATCAAAGGTCTTATTTCTGAAACATTACAGTCACCTTATTGAATGTTCACCCTCAGAAAGGCAGCCCAAAGTGGGAACCCTTTTTCAGCTGCCCTGTTTTCATCACCTCTACCATCTCAATGCTGCACACAATTTCTGGATCTCATTTCCAGCAATTCTATAAGCCCTTTGTTTTGTTCCATTCTGGGGGGTTTACTAACTCATTTTCTAGAAGCATCTAAGTCTCAAAGAAAGATTTGTACTGACCCATCAGGTTTTTCCCTGATTGCTCAAGTTTACTGGTATGGGGATGCAGAAGGCTTTGGCCAAAACCATTCTGTCATTCATTTTGTGTTGTTTGGGTTTGTCTATTACTGTAAACAGCAATCTCCAGTTTTCCCATAAGAATTGCAGCAAAAGTCTAGTATATCATAGCCAAGTAACTATCAAAAGATATGATGCCCTAAATTGTGGCACTTAAAAGTATGGGGAAAGGTATGCTCTTATTCTAGTGGGAACTCCCTGAGTTGTTTGAAAGTTCCTGATAAACCAAGTACTACATATGATCTCAAAGGGCACAGCATGGGGTAGACAAGGGAGTGAGCTGGGAAAAAGCCAGTACCTCCTTCCTCTCCCACTCTGGGACTGGTCAACCCTGTTACAGCACCAACAGGAAAGCGTGAATTTAGGAGATGTAAGACCTGTGATACCAACTTGTTCCTGATGTTCTTTTCCATATGCACTTGCTAAATATTTGGACTTAGTATTTGCATAAACTTTCTACTGTTGTTTCTTATATTAAAGGCTAACACCCAAGGGCTTATAATAAGCTCACTCTCTCAGTGACTAAGGTAAAGGCACAGGATGCAGTGATATTAAAGATTTAAGTTACCATTTTAAATAAAGTTCATGCTACTTCACCACTATAGATTGAGGATTACATACATAATCCCACTTCATATGGCTGACTTTTTCCTTTTCTTCCTTTAGAGACTAGCTTACTGCATCACACCTGAAAATGAGCACCAACTCGTGGCCCAAGGAAATGTCAGGCAATTTAAGGTTTGTACTCCTTTCACATGCCTCCTCTCCCCATACCAACCCTTTCCTGTCTTTAGCAACAACTGCAGGTTTGCACCAATGTCCTCATAGTGACTGCCTTTGCAGGTCTGTATTCTTACAGTCTACTAGTCTGTAGTACTGATGCTCAGTATCACACGCATCATTTTGGGTTGTATTTGAATACACAGAGATCTCTCAAAGAGACAAACATATTTCCAGACTATCATATGCATTTGAACAGGTCATGGCCTCTCACTCAGTTACTGCACAGCAATCTGAAGTCATGTTTCCAAAACTGCAGTTACATCCCACAGCACGTGGTAAACACAGAAACAAGTATCCAGTGTCAGAGCTTACATGTAATGACCATGATGAAAAAATGTGCTAGGTTATGTGGAACAGGCTTTCCCCACAGGCCCACAGCTGACTGAAAACACTGCTGGGGACTTCTTAAACCGTGAAAAATACGCTATAGGTTTCCAAATACTGCTTTCCTTTTAGCAAATAAAATGAGCTTATTGAAATAAACTCTTTTTTGTAGAAGATGAAAAGGATGCAAATATGAAGCTTGTTACACTTATCAGCATTCATGCTGGACCACTTTCTGTCTTCAAAGTTGAAAGCAACTAGAATTATGCACACCTCTGCAAAACGTGACCCAGATTTTATAGTGGTGGTTTGTATGTTGATATTGAAAAAATAAATCTGCCTTTTGCTTATTCTGAAAAATACTGTTTGAAGTATAATTTTAAAGGAAATAATCCAAGTGTGGATTTATGGGATGCAGAATGAAAGCAGGAAGAAAAGGCTTCCTGTTCCATGACCACAATTTATTTGATGTGGCCAAGAATATGTAATAGCACAGCACCTCTTCCTGCCTTCTCCTTCTCCTGTTTCTGCCAGATGATTTACAGTTCCAGCTGTACGTAACTCATTTTTTCCAGAGGTAGATGTTCCTGTGTCAAAGGGCTATAAACAGCCTTTCCTACACAGCACTGGTCATCTGAACCCAAATCTATAATGGCAAAGAGGAAGCAAATCAATTTCACATAAATTTGAAAAGGTTGCCCTCAGAAGTAAACTCCTAATTATACCTCAAACCATGCCAAACACAAGGGCATTTTAATTTGGTGCCATCTTCAATTAACGGCTAAGAATGGGTTTGCTAGTGCTAAAGCATAGCTAATGTTTTGTTCACAATGTTTAAGTTTGTAAACAAAACATTGCCTACCATAACTGAAACAAACATTTTATTCCCATACATGTTCAGCAGTTCCAAATTCTAAAACTGAGCTGAGAGCTGACTAAGCAGCTTTTATATTCAGCATATTTTTCACTGCAAAGCGGAATGCACAGAAATGTAGTTACATAATGGATACCCTATCCTTTATTTTGAAACCTCTTTGTAACTCTAGATTTGTCAACCAATGCATCTCTCACTATCATCATCTGAGTCAAGAAAGTTATTTAACCACTATTTCTGTTTCTTTACAGCTCCAACACTGGCTAACAATATGACAACCAACAGGTCAAGGAAAAAGCCCACGTGTTAAGCTAAACTGAAAATACAGAAAAGTCAAGTTCAAAGCTCCCTCGATTATGCTTGGCCCAGGCTGGCTCAGAGCTTATCTACTGACTCTTTGAGGGAAGACATCTGCTCTCTGTTGTCAATGCCTCCCTTCTATTACTTGGCTTCAAATGATCTTTAAAGACTCCATTTAATTTTTCTTGCATCCTTTGGTGCCATGAAATCCCTACATGACCAAAACTTGTGAGTTTTGCTATTGGCAGAAGTGGAGGGGGGGGAGCAGAGGAAAAAAAAAAAAAAAGCAATCAGCATAAGTTAAATGCTTTTTTTATTGTGAAGAAGTGAATTAAACTTTTCTGACAGTAATAATTACTTCAGATACTCATGCCACAACCTATTGTAAACAAACACCACCTGAACATTCTTAGGCCTAAGGAAAGAGTACATCTCAATTATGAGGAAAAGGAACTTTATGTACTCCTATCATTAGCTTTCTTGCCATACTATCCTTTGGGATAGGAGTTTGCATCCTACTGAAGTGAAGACTCAGTGCTTCATTTTCAGTGGTTTGTTATTAGTTTCTACTCTCGGTGAAGAACCTCGTCCTTGCTGTGTATGTCCATGCCATTTTCTGCCCAGTTTAATTCCACAAGCTGAAGAGTAGCAGGAACAGAATTGCTGTTACAGCTACTAGTACAGAACACAGCTTAATACCACACTGTACTTCATGAAAAATATATTCCTTTCTATCATATGAAATGGCTTTACCATATGATCCATACTCCGCAGACTTTTCCAGCTAAGTATGAAAGTTACATCTAAATAGACAGACTTTCATCTTTTTATATATTTTGATCCAAATAAAGAATGTAAAATATATAGAGATAATAATTTTTAGAACTATATAATTACCCAGTGGCACAAAAATACCAGACTCTGGCTTTATTCTCCTGCTGTGAACATGCTATTATTATAATTTAACCTGAATTCACCTACCAAATAATAGTAAGATGGCGTTGAATAATTTAAAAGGATATTTTAGGCACACTCAGCTCTCTAATCCTATTCCAGCTCTTCTTTCTAGTAGTATTATGCAAAGTAGAAGATACAGAACAAACTCTGCATTTGGGTGCTGTTCTTATTCTGTGGTCACTTGTCACTGTTGTACCTTTCCAGTGATCACTGCATTCGGTAGCTCTGAGTTATTTCTTGTAATTATTTACCACTAGATCTACAGTAATTTTCAGAGGCCGTAGCTTCTCAGCTGGATCCAACCCAGCATTTACCTCTGGACATTACCTCTGAATTTTTTTGTCTCTGTACATTCAATTCAGCTTGTCTTTGAAATGTATGTAGTGCTTCCTCTTTTTAAAGAGATATTTTAAAAGGATGGGCCTTTTTTTATTTATAAAACATTTTTATTGAGTTTTTTCTTTTTTAAAATAGATCAGTTTAAAAGTCCCAAGTGATTTTGGCTTTTTCTGTCTAATATTGATTTCTGTTCAAATAATGAAAGGGAAATTTCTCTCCTTATTCATCCTTTTCCTCCAACATGTTCAATACTCAGAACATATCAAATGCTGTCCTTTTCTTAAAGAGTCTCCATGACAAATAGTAATTTTATTTAAACAGGGTTTTAAATTCAAAGAATATTTTCTTCTAATTATAAAGAAAGTCATATTTGCTGGCCCAGCTGCTGGCCAAAGGCTACTTAAACCCTGTTATTAAATATATTTCAATAATTAAGGAATTCCAAATGTTACGGTTCTAGGGCTGTAAGTACACAGCAGGCTAAACAGTGAAAATATGTTGAGGGCTTCAAAAAAAGTCATCCCACCAATTTCACAGTTAATCCCATTTTTATTGTTTGCTGAACTACATGAGAATCTTTTCATTGTTATAAATTTACTTTTCAACAATACAGCTGCTTCAGTCACTGGCTTGGCATGGCTCAAAAGCTTCTTAGCAGAGATGTGATTTCTAAGTTTTGGAACTCTTGAGGGCTGCTTAACCTGGAGCTTTAATAGTCTGTCACATCACACATTGCTTGCTTCGTTCGTGATTGGAAATGCTGAAAACCTGCATTAACGTTCACTTGTGACACACCCAATCACCCCCATCCATCCAGCAAAACCCACGTAGGAAAAGGTACATTTCATCACCACTCTGCTCTGAAATAGGAGCAAAGCTCTCCTAGCATGGGAGGGAAGTCAGCCTTACCCAGCATGTTCGGGTTTGATTGTATTTTTAATACCAACTCCCAAGGCAATTAGCTACTACATTATTTTTATTTCTGTTACTGTGTAACTTCTTAGGTTTAGTGTAGTATTTATAGCTCAGGACTCCATTGCACTATTGCCACCTTGTTCTGAAGTTTTGTTGATAAAGAACTTGCAATCTATACAGAACACAGAAGTCATATCAGACAAAGCAGGAATCTTACTGCCACAATTAGCCTGAATGAAAAAGACAATACACAGGGCATGACTGCATACTTAGACTTTAAGTTCAGGATGTTGCCCAAGGAAAGTCTCCCCCAAAATAATGCAACTTTTATCCCAGAGAAAAAAGAACAATGTCTTCAGCTCTCCACTGAATAAGATGATGAACTACCTCATGCCTCTTGGATGATAAATGATGCCAATAGACACAGACTATCATCCATTCAAATGACAAATACTTTTGTGAAGTATTTCCTTTACTCCACTCAATGATATGGTACAGACAGTCCAAAAAGAAGCCATAGCACTGGCCCCCACCTCCTCTTAGGGACCTGCTTTGAGCTCCCAAATACATTGTCAATAGGAAAATATCAAATGCCACTAAAGTTATTCATCTCCCTTCAGTTCACATGTCTGTAGTTTAAAAAAAAAAAAAAACAAAACCAAAAAACACACCACCCAGTCAGGTTCTTATCATCCATGTGGTTTAACTACAAGTCTTCCTGTAACTGTGTCTTGAATTTTCGGCCCAGCAGCTCACTCTTTCTCCCTCAGCTGTACTTATGACAGGGACAGACCCACTCTGGGGAATGGTGCTCTCCCAGATATCCCTGTGGGATGGCAAGTGAGTGCTGGTTGAGTATGCAGCCTGCTTCCAGAAGAAGAAAATGTTTGGTACAAACTTATTCAAGACACAACATCATCTGCTTGTTAATTGTGTTTGTTGTTTTGGTAACAAGCCAGTGGGAAAAATTCAGTGAAGCAATTAAATAGCTCATTTGGCAGTTCTAGAAAATATTTCCTTAAAAGCCTTTTCTTAATCTGATAAAGGAAGCAGCTGTCATACATTAGCATCTCTCTTCTGACCTTTCTTTCGACCAGTGAAAAAGACCTGCCTGTGATCCACAGTGTTCCACCAACCCACAGAAACTTAGTTAGGACCAAGGAAAGAGATCCTCCATTGTTTCTTTGTACCCCTCCCTGCTCTCATTCAGCAAGACAATTCTTCTCATCCTTGGTACTGTTCCAAAGCTACATTACTAAAGCTCCACAGTTTTAGATTTCTGGAAGAAACAGCGAGTCTTTCATGTACAATAGTTCAAAAAGCACTAGTGCTATTTAGTGTCTGGCCTCTGCTGGACACATCTTTTTTGTCAGTCCTTCTCGTTGTTCCATCACGTCCTGAGAGACACACCCTGGCAACACTTGAAAGACATCTTACCATGGTGAGGGATAATGCAGGATATCCAGGATCAAACGCGATATTTTAAATATAGAATGTAGAAGTACTTGGGTGTTACTATTGTGTGTGTTCCCTGACTGCACGTGCAATGTGTGTCGTATGTCATTTTCCCAGAGGAAATTTCCTATACTTGGTCATTTCTTCTCAGCAAAAGACCATTTGAGTGTTATTATTTAAAAAGGTCAAACCCAAACATTTTGTATATACATCCAACTTTTTATGCTATTGTTTTGACATGAATTAAGTTTATTTTGTGCCATTAGGTTGTAGAAGGCCACATCAAAAGTTCTTTTGCTGTTAATGTCTCTTTTGCAGTTCTTCCAATTCATACAGCATTAAATAGCAGATACTTGTTTTTAGGGGAGTAGATAGCTTTCATTCATATCCTAGGCTGCTTCATTAAGTTCCATGAGGCATTGGCAAATGCTTAAGAATTTCTTTCCGAAGAACCAAATTAAAACCATAGATCAGCAATTTCAAAAGAGATGAGACCTAAAGATGTTTTATTTGCAGTGTCCTGTAAAACATTTTAAAATGAATCTGAAGGACTCAGATATTAGCAAGTTATCACAGTTCAACACATGGCAGTGTACAGCCTACCTGCAAAAGTTATGTGTGAACTCTGAGCCTCTCAGAGCAGTAAAATAGGATAATTTTGTTCTAACACACTTTATTTTCTCAGTACCAAAAACATTTATGGTCCACATATCATCTCATGTGTAAGAACTCAATTTTCTTAATGTAAAGGCAAAGATGATGTTTGAAATTAGACCCTTGAATCACCTGGGAGACTTTTCCAGTCTACCTTCCTCTGACTCACACAATGTTCCTGCTCACCCCACTCACCTGTGGGCTCACCCCACTAACCAGAGGCAAGTCAAGCTGTTAAAGGATGATGCTAAACTGTTTACTGAAGTGAGAAACAAGACCTTGGAGTGACCATACCAGGTTCATATCTATATACAAGCAGAAAGGAGCATATGGACTATTTTAAGCAAAGCTGGCCAGAAATCACCATAAAGGACTGAATCTGTGAGCTGCTTGGACACCTGAGTTATTACACATCTTCATTTACTACACTAATAATACTCTTGTACATGAGAAGGCCAGTCATGTTCTGGCTTCCTTTTGAAGAAAGGTACACAAGTACCTGACACCGCAAAACAGTCTGAAAAAAAATTTTAGAACTTAATTTACAGAAATTAAACACACAGTTAAGATCTGTTACACCAGTGACCTTGCATCACTGAGTTTCAGAAGTGATCATATGCAGGGAATTGTTCTATGTCAAACATCCATGTCTGAGTGTTTCTGTGCCGTGGAAAATAGTTTTTTGTTCAGCCATTTCAGTCTGTTTTAACTCAGACCTCAGTTGGAACATTTCACCAAGCACTTGCCCCTCTCTAATCCATATTCTCAAAGAACAGTTTTTGCTGACAACCATCCTAGAGCACTCAGACTGACCAAGCAGGAACACGTGTTCCTTATTTGTTCTGCCTGATTAAGTTTAACTGGGGAATGACAGGACTTGTAAGCCATGCCATGCACAGAGAAACTTTTCCTAGACCAAAAAATTCCAGATTTTTTGCACATTGTTTCTAATAAAAATTAATTCAATGTAGGACCAGGATCCTCAGCTGGTGATTAATTTGCACAGTGGTACTCTTCACTACCCAAGACTGAATTCAGATGCATCTACATGCATCAGAGTACTATAGAGAACTAGGAGGCCAATAAAACATTTCAACCATTAGGAAAACATAACAGGGTAATTAGAGTTGCTTTTAAGTACAGCATCTGATGGGTTTTCCTTCAGCACTTAAAAGAAAATTTGCTTAGACAAACTGCAATCACTGTATGACTGATGGAGCAGAAGCAAGCAGAGAAACAGAAGACCACCAGAAGAATACAAGTGACAGATATCACGGCTGTGGTCAGTGAAAATGTCCTGCTCAGAAGGACATGTGAGTGTCCAGATCCGAGTGGTTTGGCAGAGAAGGGGAGAAACTGAGAAGTTTAAGTCTCAGTCCAGCAGCTCAGCATTCATATCCATTAACACTGAATTAGTTTCCAGAAGAACTGTGGGCCTTTTCTGCCCAAGCACTGACAGCAAGATTGAGCCACCAGTGCTTTGCTTTCCTCCTTTCTTTCGGTGTTTCTTTAGCTGCCATACTAAACATAAGTTGCTTAATTTCTTTAACAAGGAAATAGAACAAATGCAGTGAACTAAGAGAATTACTAAGCCTTAAGCTGGCTCTCTTTTAAAGGTGTCATGTTGTTTCTTGGTCACTGCCAAGAGGCCTCAAACTTGCAGGTGAGCTGCATCTGTAATTTACCTTGCATTCTGTGAACCTGTCTGCAAGACTTAACTCTCATTTGTGATGGGCAATATCAGTTAAAAAGGGAGAACCTCCGAATAGTACATTTTGAAAATAAATTCTAATAGGTGTGATAAAGATTTGCCTTACAAATAAAAGCTTTATAGTGAGCATTTACTTGGTTTACACCAGTGTTTTACTTAATTTTTAATGCCTTTTTATAGCAGTGACTAGAATTTACCTTAGATAAGGGTTCCTCTGTATAGGAACTATTTTAATATTTTTACCAGGTTTTTTTAATTTTCATAGAATATGTGTATATTGTAAGGCGAGAAATTCAGCTTTGATGTAACAAGGGTATCACACAAGACCTATCTCTCCATTATAAGATTTTGTAGTCAGCCAGTCTAGTTCAATAATATGTTGGCCTTTGATCATAAATGTAAAAATGTGATAAAGGAGAATAGAATATTACCTACAGCTAATGCACATTGTAGCACAATATTCTCCATTGCTGCCTTAATCTCATAAAATGAAGTCATGTGTTTTTAATTTCTATTCCAAAAAAAAAAAAAACCACCAAAAAATCCAGAGCATCCTTTGGCTGCAGTTTTGTGTTGTTAGATGACTTAACATCAAACCAAATGTGTTAGTGTCCAGTAGATCTACTTCCAAAGCAAGAGAACACATCGCAGTTTTCAGGAATAAGTTTCCATAGGAGCTCAAAATTTACCAGTAGTATAAATACTCTCCAAAGTGCCCCAGTGACCAAAGGTGTCCAAACAGACATGATGTGTCCATGCCTGATTCCATGAATTGTGCAATCTGAATCTGCCGGTCCATTTACCTTTACTTTTTTTTTTTTTGCCTTTTTTTATTTTTTTTAAGTCTTTGGTTATCTGGGGAAATGGCATTCCACAATTTTTTTTCCTCTCTTTTTTTTTCCCCCCCAAAGTGGGACACCTACATGCCCACGTGTGTAATTAGAAACAAGTACATTTCTTATAAATATGGATATGGATGTGTGTGATGTGTGTTGGTTAACTATACTTAAAATGCTGATAAAGATGGTGAATGTAAAGTATTTGTCCTCATACCTCTGTCTTTCTGTGATCAGTGTAAATAAGAACTGTTTTAAGCTGTGCATTAATGTAACAGATTATCCCAATATTGTGTATAAAATTATTTAAATAAAATCTGACAAATATGCACATAGAAAGAGTATCAAGAAAAGTCTTATGTACCAAAAATTTACTCATGACAGTCAATTAAAAGGCGAAATGAAAGTTTTGCTTGTTGTCAATCCTATTCTCAGCTAAAGCTTCACAGGGGCTGCTGATCCTTGGCTCAGCATTGATCTCTCCCCAGAGTTGGAATGCTTGACTCCCAGGGACAGGCACCTCTGGAGCAGGATCTGAGAGCAGCAGGGAGAGGGGCCTCTAGGAGCCAGTCTTGAGCTGACTCTAAACCCGGGCAGAGAGCTAAAAGCAAAATCCCAAAAGGGAGGAAACCCATGTAGCTCAACCCTCAGGAGCCCGTTGACATCTCTTGGTGTCAGTGGACGCAGTGGGCAGATGAATTTCTACATCTGAACTACCCTCAGGAGTGTAAATGCAGTAATGCAACGGGAACCACAGATTGAAAGGAAATAATCAAGACCTGCAAGGAGCACAAATCAAAATGTATAGCCCAAGGCTACATTGTTTTCCTTTTCACAAGCAATGCCTTTTGCCTCATTAATTTTGCTCTAAGTAGTAGTAGTCATCAGCACATCATTCTTAATTGATGGACCAGCCAGGAAAAGGCTCTCATCCAACATGAATGAAGAAGAGGTAACAATGATTATTTTATATTTTTACACTATAACTTATACCATCTTCTTATATTTCCACATGGAACATCACAAAATT